CTCCAAGGGTGACTGCAGCATATGACCACAAACTAAAGAGGAAGCGGGCAGAGATGGGGCTTCTGTTCTTGTGAGATGTGTTGTGAGATGGTTTCATGTCAGAAAGTGGGTTGTACCGTTGCTATGTGGCCTTCAGGACATTAAATCAAAGCCTTCTTAAGCACAGGAGGAACTGAGTAGCACATGTTTTGTTTGTTGTGGGGAAAAGACAACACGGTGCTCCTGCCATGCCTATGTCTTAGCCTGCTGTCTACCAGTTTTATTTATAGTCCTGGTATCTCGGCTTCCTATCTTCTGCGTTGTGTATGCTGTAGAGCTCTCACTTAAAGCTTATGGGTTTGTGGAATATGTCCAGTGTTAAAACCGACTGGTGTATTGTCCAAGAAACAGAGAACCCTTCATAGCAGATTGTCATCTGGGCATATTTGGAGAGTGAAATGAATTGAAATAAGAGGGACATGAGGAAATGGCTCCTTAGCCTTTCTGTGTCAGATGAGTGTTAACCTTCATCATCAACTTGATGGGATCTGGGGTCATGCAACAGACATGTGAGGACTATTTCAAAGAAGGTAAATGGTAAGAAGTATTTATGCCTTCAGGGTTGGAGGCAGATTCACTACAGTCCCATCATGGGAAGAACAGCGTTTTGTCCTTAATAGGATAGGTATTTAATTTTGGTTATGAATTTGCATTTTCTGTACATAATGCTTCTGCCCAAACGATCACCCATGGACTTACAGCACACCTTACCATCATCACAGTCTCCCACACAGCACTGTTTCTGTTCAGGGACCTCATTTCACAGCCACAGTAGAGTCCCATCAGGCTCGTGCTCATGTTGATGTTCATGTACTTCACAGGCCTAACACAGGAAGAACGTCTCCTTTCTAGGCTGCTGTTAAGTCTTTGATTGGTTTCTAGAATCTTTCTCTTTTCAGTGTTAGAGATTGAACCCAGGGCCCTGTGTATACGAACAAAGCACACTAAATTTAAGCTACATCCTAGCAGTTAAGATGTTGAAAAGGTTTTTTTTTTTTTGCCAGTTTTGTGCAGGTGTTTTTGTTGCTTTTGTGAAAAAAAATTGATTACCCTTTATTTAATCACCACAAGTGACATGGCTTTTAAATTATTAATGTAAGTGTTGACAGCAAAGAGATAGTTAAAACTTTAAATTGATGCTACTATTCTTATAATAATTTTGTCAGCGTGGATTTTTTTCAGGAAATATATTACTTATATTAAAATGTGATTTAGCTGACTCATAGCTAAAATATTTCCATAACTTCTCCTATGGCAAATGTTTCCTGAAACAGACTAACAAATAAAAGTTCTTCAAAATCTGTATGGCTTTTAAAGTAGAGAGGTAGCCATGGACCAAAAACTTGAGAACTTATTACTAATACTTTAGGTGGACTCTATTAATTTAAAACTTCTAAAATGATTTTTACTTAAAGGCATCTCTGTCACTCACTCTCTAGGACCATCTTTGCTGGCTCCATGTTCTTGGTAGCACAAATATCCTCATGGTTTTTAAGACATTGAATGCTGTCTTCAAGTTCCAGTTTTTAACTTTAAAAAAGCCCAAAACATTTTAAAATGAACTCTCTTTTGTTATGGTGTGGAAAATTTAGACATTTAAAAAAGTTGTTCTATTTTTGTTAATCTTCTCCTATTCTGAAAAAAATTCAGTAATTATCTCTTTTGTAGTGTTTTTCTTAATCATTCAATCATCTTCTTCTGAGACTGAAATGAAAAAATCATTCAGTCTTCATCATGCCCCTTATTCTTGTAGCCTTTCTTTGTTTTCCAGGTTCTTCATTTTATCTTACTCTGATATTCCTTGGACCAGTTTTCACATATGTCTTCAAGTTTAGTAACAATCTCTTCACCTGCCTGTGATCAACTCTTTAAAAATGAGTCTTATTTGTTTATTTTTATTTTATGTGCACTTGAATGTATGTCAGTGTGTGTATGTGAGCAAGTACATGCAGGGCCTACAGAGACCAGAAGAGGGCATCAGATCCCCTAGCGCTAGAGTTATAGAAAGCTGACTAACTGACTAACATGGCGCTATAATCTACTGTTTAGCCCATGCATCATGCATTCCACCTTTACAATTAAAAAAAAAAAGTGTCATTTCCAAAGTTTCCAATTGATTTGTTTTCAAAGCAGTGTGGTTATGACTTTCTTATTTGCTCATCTTTGTGATTTTTCTCTCTTTCTTTTTATATTTTAAATTCTTCATTATCTGGAAATGATTTGATAATTCAAGTATTCAAAGACCTTATAGATCGAGGTTCAATGTTTGCTTAATTGTCTTTCTCTGGTAGAGTCTTGCTCCTTTGTATATTAGAAAAGCTTTGTGAGTTCATTAAAAAAATCTTAAACAGCACCTTTTGAGGCAATCTCTCTCTATGGAGTCAGACTAGTAATCCACCTGTCTCATCCTTATGATTGCAGAGATGACAAATACGTGTCACCAGGCCCAGATGTGGTTTTATTTTGAGTTTAACATTGTTTCTGATGGAAATTAGAGATTTTTTTTCTCACTAGAGACTTCCTGGCCTCTTTTAAAATCTTCAGTAAAAAGATTAGCTATGAATCCTTCCCTAGCTTGCAATTTGTTTAAGTAAGGTATACCCAAAGTCCTCTGCTACCAGATTTACCCTTGGGGTAATTTCCTGTTCTTCTTGGCTGGGTACTCACTTATGCTTAATTCAATTTCAGTTCCTTTTGTGTGCAGATATGTGTGCCTGCAGGTATGTGTGTGAACCTGTTCCAGGAAAGCCCCTGAGATTCCCATGGTCACCTTCAAGTCCAGCAATGCACCGAGGAGGTTTTTATTAAGACTGTGATTTCCTCTGGAAGGGCCCTTGAGAGTTTACCAACTGCTTCACTGCAGTGAAGGTGTGGCTTATCCTTTGCTATTGCAAATAAGTTGAAAGGGGTTGTTTGGGTCAGTAACTGGTGCACAGAGGTTTATAACACTAGTAAATAAGAAGATCCTTTTGGTGTCTCACTGTGAAGCAGTAGGCACATTACTTTACCTCACATAATGCAATTCTTGTCTGAGGATTGTACAGGTAAAGTCCCCAAAACTTGGTAGGTACTTACTGGAGCTTGGGTATTGCTATTTAAACTTCTCCTTGATCTAAAGTATGTTTAGCTCCCCTGCTTCCTCAGTTAGCATTAACTGTCAACTTGACACAGCTGCAAATTAAGTGTTGGGAAGTCTCTATTAAATAATTATTTTTATCAGCTTAGTCTGTGGGCATGTCTTCACTGTTTATTGAATGTGGGCAACATCACTTGCTGGGCAGGTGGACCTGTACTACACTAGGCTGAGCATGAGCCTAAGCTAGCCTGAGAGCAGTTGGCAAATAGCATCCTCCGTAGAACCATGGCAGGTCCCTGCCTGAATCCCTCAGTGATGGATTTTGACCTGGGAGTGTATGCCAAATAAACTCACTCCTCCTCAAGCAGATTTTGGTTATAAGTGTTCTCAAAATGGAACCAGAACATTCCTCTGAGGGTACATTGGTCACTTAGGAATCGTTTTCCCTTGTGGGGAGGCAAAGCACCAAGTGTCTCCACCATTGTCTAATATTTCCCTGTGACTCAAGATCACCCAAAGTTAGAGAACCATTACCTTAGTTTTTTATACTTCTAGATATCAAATTTTGAATAATAATGAATTATATTTTAGGAATGTACCTATAACTTTTGTTATATACATCTAGCCCATAGGATTGATATTTTATCACCACTTTAAAAATGAAGGAAAAGTGTTAGATCTGGCCTGGATGGAAGGTGAGTTGGTCAGCCTGGGCCTTTGGTGGGCTGGTGGGGCCTGCCCTTCCACTCCATGCTCCATTGGGTATGCAGACTAAACACAAATTGCACTTGTGGGGTTTTTTCTTTCTCTGTTATTTTTTCTTTCATTCTTCCTCCTCCTCCTCCTTATTTTCCTTCTCCTCTTTCCTTTTCTCCTCTTTCCCCTTCCCCTCCTTATCTTGGAGAATGTGAGGTCACAAAGTCGGGAATGTGGACATAGGAAGACTAGGAAGTAAGTATGACCCAGGATCATGATGTGAAACTCCCAAATAATCAATAAAAATATTATGCCAGGGAGAAAAGAGAAAATGAGCAATTCACTAATCAACACAGAGCTGGGCAGTCTAGACACTACGATTCTGCCTGAAGAGTCCAACCCCAAACTCATGTACTTTTTCTGATGCCCAAAGAGGCATGAAAGGAGTACTTTGGCTGATAGTTATTTAACTAACAAGGAGCATGCTCCAGTTGTTAGGCACACAATTAAGTGATCCACATTGAAATCCTGGTCCCCCTCTGCTCTTTTTGGAGCAGTTATACTACTGAGGTCAATAATCATTATCAGAGTGCAGTGTACATAAGTGAGGCCCAAGAAAGCATGAGGGGAGTTCTGCATATGTAACTGAGTACCAAGGACCAGTCTCTGGGCTGCCTTTGTGAACTATAAGATTCTCAGATTTGTCTACACACTATTCAGCTGGCCAGTGTCCAGCTTTGTAGTTATGTCATGAATTGATTTTGATAGCTACCATCTCTCAGCTCTCACTTGGGTCTTGACTTGGAGACTTGAGATTTCTCACTTCTGCATACAGCTCACTGACTGCCCGCCACCCTCAACCCCAGCAGTATCCAGAAGTACAACTTTGGGAAAATGTCACTCTCCCATTTGCCTAAACAATGAAGCAGCATCAAATTAGAAAAATCTTTTCTGTTTTCACTTACTTTGCCTGTAAGCCATGTTTAGATTTCTGGTCTGGGACAAAAAAAAAAAATGGAGAACCCACCCCACTCATCTCTACATAGAACAAACTCTACAGAATTGTAGAAAATTCTAAATTTTGGATAGACCCATTTTCTCATGAGAATTTTTCATACTGTTTGTTTTTCATTGTAAATGAGAAAAATAACACTTTCTAATCAAAAAAATAACATAATGAAATAGAGATCTTGTAAAACATTAGAGACAAGAGTGGCTTTATTTAAGTATCAAATACTTTTGGACAGGAAATGTCTCTTAGCTGGGCACAATAGGCATTACAGAATGCCAGAATGTGGGAATAAGAGATAGAAGAATTCAGAGTCCACTGGACTGTAAGATCCTCCCTTAAATACCACAACCAAAGCAGCAATGTGTTTCCTCTTGAGTACCTGTTCCTGTGTTCAGAGCCACGTTTGCTCTGGGAAGAGCTTCTCTGTTGACCCTCCTCTCTTGAAAGATGAGCCCTAGCATCACAGTGAGAGTCATCCACTGAATAAATGTCCTTCTTCAGTGACTCTTCAACCATGACATGAACTTCTTGGGCTGTCAATTGTGGAACTAAACTGTTTTAGTTCAACAAACATTATACTATAAATTGTGAAAGTTTATAAAATATAATTAATTTGTACTTAGTCGCTCTCTGTATCAGAAGTTCTGAAAGGTAAATAAAATACAAAAGTATTTGATTCTTCAGCAAAAGATCTTCTTTAAGATCATGGAATATGTGTTTTCATTAACTTGGTTTTGGGTTGCCTATATTTTAGCAGTTGAACCAAGTACTAGAATCACCAGAATCATCAATTCTTCTTGTTTGGAGGTTAAATCTGTGTTGGATTGATTGGTGGAAGAAATAGAAATTATCTGAAAAATTAAAAAGATACTTATTATATTATTATATAATACATATAGTTTCCAGAATTTGACTCAGTTCTGAGTGATATATATATATATTACATTTGCTGTCTAAATAGCAACACTGTTATTTTTAATATTGTAATAAAATTGAGAAAATGTGTTTATACTCTTACCCTCTTTCTGGAAGACATCATCAACTTTATCATTAATTCCAGGGAAGTCTTCTGCTATTAATCTAGGATAACCTGGATCCATGGACCGGGTATTTTCATCATACCTGATTTTTTTTAAAAAAGTGGTTTAAAAGTATCAGCATCTTTGACCAAACATGAAGATTGCTTAAAAATATTTACAGAAAATACAAGAGTATGGATGGCATAGAAATTTTTAATTCTTGAGATTAGAAAGCAGTGAATTGGGTGAGGAAATGTAGAATGTTGGATATACCAAACTATACATAACGTCCTTCTGAAATCCAATGAACCACACGGATGTCCTCTTCAGGTAAAATGCTTTGTGAATGGTAAATTTAGGTGAAAGTAGCTCAAGAAGTTGATTGCTCTTATTCCCCCACCCTTCCATAGCACAGAATATCAAGGCAGGCTCATTGGATTCCCTGTACAAGCGCCTCACAATGCTTGTTGCTCCACAGACTAATGGATGCTCAGTGGCTACAGCCATTCATAGAAAAGGCAGTTTGACAACGCCCTTTGAAACTCATTTAAAGATCTTTCTGTATAGAAACAACTGGCACCCTAACATTACTCATATTTTAGTCTTTACCTCCAGTACATGTGGTCAACAAAGAAATATGTTTTTCCAGTCTCTTCCTCAGAAACAGCAGCATCAATGTGTGTCACGTTGCTAGGGAAGCCAAAGAAGCTGTGGATGTCCTTGGGGAATCCTTCCAGTACATTCTTTTCCTGAACAGCCCAGACTTTACTGCCTGCCAATCAAAAGCCACAGATGAACCTCCTTGCCTACATTTTCAGCTAAGCTTTACAAGCTAGGAACTGTATCCTAGGTACAGACAGCAACCTTTGTAGGAAGGGCTTGGTATCTTCTTCTCTGTTAAATGTTGATATCAGGATACAATCTTAAAGCAATTAAATGAGTTTGCCTTTTGTTTGCTTGATTGTTCTGTTTTTGAGACAAAGAATTTACACTGCAACCTAGCTTGGTGTAGAATCCACTATGTAATTTACAGCAATCCTCCTGTCTTAGCCTAACTGTTAGGATCAGAGGCATGAGTTGCCAAGCCTGATTTATATGAGATATTCTTTTCTTCCCGGGCCATTCCAATCTGTAACATGCATTGAAAATTATCTCCTTTTCCCCTCCTCCATTGCAGTTGAAGTTCCTTTCCAAAAGTGGACCCCCAAACAACTATAATTTCTATTCTACTTCTGTAGCAACTAATTTCCACAGCATCCTCCAAGGTAGCTGTGTACATGTCTGCAGATTCAAGAGCCTGTCTGTTTCTAGTCCCTAAGTTGTATATCACATGAAACGCACCTGTTTTTAAGCCAAGAAAACTCTAGTTCACAAACATGCTTATTTTAAGCTCACATGAAATAGTGCTCTGAAATGCTGTGTATGTAAATTTCTATTTAATTCCACATAATGAAGTGTAGAGGTACTGTTGCAAAGTATTCTGCCAGACTGAACTACATTCACATTTTGTTTTGAGCGTTTTATAGTATCAAGTGTCTCAATGTTTGTCTGTACTAGACCAAATGCTTCCATTAAAAAAAAGTATCAGATGTGGTCTTCAAAATCTGACATACTAGGCTCTTTGATCTCACTGAATCCCACAGACTCACTGAATTTAATTCATAGTGACTTGGAGTTTCTCATATATTAATAATCTTTGAATGAGTTGCCTGGAAAACTTACTAAGATTTAGATTCTCGAACAAATTTCACAGTGAGACTTGAGAGTATGTTTTGTTTTTCAAGGCAGGATGTCATCAGCACAAGGATACTGGGAACACATGCACAAGGAGTCTAGGAAATTGCATACACAAAATCTTTCCATGTCAGATTTTGTAGACTTGGCTCATGACTCTCAATTTGATTTCTGGGCCCTCCCAAGCATATGGAGGAAGTTTAAAACACAGTAATTATTTGCAAGGTCTTAAACAAGTCTAAAGAGTTAGAACTCATTTTCTTTTAAATAAAAATGATGCTGAATATGCACTATAACTTTTAGCTAAGCTGATGGGCTCCCATGAACTTACTTGGAGAAGCTTGAACATTCAGAAATCCATGTAGTGAATGTAGCTAATACCCTTTTATCTAACTTCCAAGCTGAATGAAAATTTAGTTTATAAATACAAAGAGAAACAATTAGAAACATTACCTTTGAAAAAGCGGAGTTCATCTACCATACTAGCTTCATAAGCAGCATCAAATTTACCTGGCAGATTTGGCCAGATAAGATCTATCACATTGATCAAAGGTTCTGGAAGGAAGCTAATTACCCGAAAGTAGAACCTGATTCAAAAAGAAGAGAAAGTGTGGCTGTCAATGGATCTCCAGGCAATCTCCAGCTTCTTCTCACTGGAGAGCTCCTGTGAGCAAATGTGCACTGTCTCCCTGAAGATGGGATCAGGCATGGTTTCTGCTTGATGTGCTTGTTTCTTGATGGAAATACTCATGCTGTGGCAAATTTTGAGACTGGTGGTAACACATCACATGGGATCCTGATCATTTGGAGACACAGATGGCATAACCAAACTCAAGAATATAAGGAGTAGAGGCATTGTGAACAGGGGTGGGCTAGAGCAGAGCAGTGAAGTGCTGGCCTGCCATGCATGAAGCTGGGCATTTGAGCCTCAGTACTATCAACGAACTTCAGTACTCTCAGTGCTTCAGTGAAGGCGATGACAGAGCAATGCTTTATTTCTATTACTGGTGGTTCTAGTACAATTTAATTTAACTTTTATATTGGCTGTGATTCACAAGCAATTTTCATAAACCTTTAAAATTTATAGTCAGCTTTGGTGAGCCATGAGGAGCAGGCTGTAGCATGTGACCAACTGCAATGCAGCATCCTGTGCCAGTATCCTGTATT